AAGGAGAAACTTCCTCATAGTGAGAACAATTAACCAGTGGAACGGAAGTTGCCTTCAGAAGTTGTGGGTCTCCATCACTGGAGGCTTTTAAGAAGAGACTGGACAGCCACTTGTCTCAAATGGTATATGGCAGTGTTTTTCAACCTTGGCAACTTGAAGATGAATGGACTTCAACTCCCAGAATCCCCAGCCAGCTATGCTGGCTGGGGAATTCTGGGAGTTGAAGTCCACTCATCTTCAAGTTGCCAAGGTTGAAAAACACTGGTATAGGGTCTCCTGTTTGAGCAGAGGGTTGGACAAGACCTTCAAGGTCCCTTCCAACTCTATTGAGTGATGGTTGAGGCAGAGTTTCATGTTGTCTTCCCTCCCCTCCAAAGGGCTCCCAAAGTCCCCTTCCTCAGATATACGGCCCAGCCTTTTGAGACTCTGCCTTTCTTGTTGTTTCAGGCACCCAAAGAAACGTTGGCCAAGGCCGTGTTGGCAGAACTCCCTCAGCAAGTGGTTCAATACTTCAAGCACCAGAATTTGGCACCCCTCAACTCAGAACCTGCTTAGAAGTCAAACCGTTTGCTCCTGGCCTGCATGTATCCCACATCCGTTGGTGGCAGAAGATTGCATGTCTCCCGTTTCGTTTAACTGAGTTCATTTAATCAAAAGGAGCAAAGCATAACCCGATTCCTTCCGAAGGCAACTTGCAGCGTGAGAAGTTTAGGGATCTCCGTTCCAAGGATCCTGGAAGGAAACAACCCACCGTGGCCGACACTGGACATGCCTTGATTCCACAAGTCAACTTTTTAAGTATCTGAACGTACTTTGTATGAGTTTTGTGGAACGAGAGGACCTTTTTACAGCCACAGCTTACTGTCTCCAAGTGTGACGTTCTCAAAACCTCATTGCCCAAAGAAATGTGGACCTCCCTTCAATGTGTTGTAACTTGTACTTCTGCTCTACGTTCATTTTTATACCATGTACACATGATTATTTGTTACACACAGGTTAATAAAAGAACCCTGAACTCTTCACATCTCCCCTGAAGCCTGCTGTGATTTGATCCCACTGAGTCCTCCTGCAGCTTCTTTGAACCAAATCCGTCCAGGTGAGTTGCATCTCAACTCCCCATCAGGATTGCACCAAATACCTGTGAAGGACTCCAGGTGGGTGCTTACGTTTTTCATAGAGGGATGGAAGAGACCTTGGAGGTTTTCTAGCCCAACCTCAAGGCAGGAGACCTTATAGCAGTGATGGCTAACCTTTTCTGGACCAGTGCCCAAAGATGCGTGCACCCAAACCCCCAAAATGCAATGTGCGTGCCCCCCCACATGCATGGCAGAGATCCAAAGAGCAGCTGGCCTGTGGGAGGTGCCCACGCATGCACAGCAGAGTTGAACTGGGGCGACGGCTCACGTGCCATCAGAGAGGGCGCTTCTGTGCCACCTCTGGCACGCGTGTCATAGGTTCGCCATCACGGCCTTATAGCATCCCGAGAATATGATTGTCCAATCTCTTCTTAGAAATCTGCAGGTGCTAGTATGGTCAACACTGCTCCATCTTGTAAGAGCCTGTAGTACAGTGGACTAAAGCACTGTTATTAACATCTGCTGCTTGCAATTACTGCAAGTTCAAATCTCACCAGGCTCAAGGTTGACTCAGCCTTCCATCTTTTCAAAGGTAGGTAAAATGAGGACCCGGATTGTGGGGGCAATAAGCTGACTTGTATAAATATACAAAAGTATGACGGCTATTGCTTAACGCATTGTAAGCCGCCCTGAGTCTCTGGAGAAGGGAGGCATATAAATTAAAGCAAAAAAAATAAATAAATACAGTCCCGTACAGTTAATCCTCGACATATGACAACTGAGGCCAAGGTTTCTGTTACTAAACGAGACAGCCGCTAAGTGAATTCTGCCCCACCCCAATGATCGTTCCTGCCATAGTTGTTCAGTGAAGAGGTGGTAGAAAAAATGGTTTTAAAAGTAAAAAAAAAAAAAGTTGACCACGCCCACCCAGTAGCATTACCCCCCCACCACCAAGCCACACCCACAGAACTGGTAGTAACAAATTTTACATTTCACCCCTGGTCCACGGTAACTTTGAACGTTTGCTAAGCAACTAGCCGTAAATCAAGGTGAACGTATCCTAGTTTAGCAACGTCAATCCAACACAATTCCTGTAACTTTGACACCGAGAAACAAAAAAATATTGGAGCCTCTCAGGTTAGTTACTATTCAGCCGTGAATCCTCAGACCTTACTGAATTTACATAAAGTGAAAAGGTTGCTGGTTTCAATCATAAATTTCCATAAATATAAGCCGTTGCTGGTTTCAGACATGAATTTGCATAAAAATAAGACATTGCTGGTTTCGGTCAGCTTGGCTGAGAGAAGTCAGTGAATAACCACTTTAATATTGTAATCAAGAAAATTACCTGAATGTATCTCACCAGGAATTAAACTGAAATCACCAGGAGTTAAACCGAACCTGAAAGTAAAGATGAAATCTTATCCCCGATACACACTGTCTACTTCCCCCCACCCCCTGCTTTAAACTGGTTTTAAATTAAATATATAGAAAATATAATTTAGAGGCAAATGAGCTTTTCTTGCCGGAGTTTGGCTTCAAGGAGATGAAAGATACCGGCCTTAAATTAGGGTCGTTTTTGTTTTTGCTAAATCTGATTTTTAAATTCAGACCTGCAAACAGAATTAAGCTTGATTAATATTAACTTCTTTTTTTTCTTGTGGATTATTATGTGAGGCAAACTCATTCAAGGGGCTTGAAGCAAGAAATTTAGTGTGCTGTGCGAAATAACACCGGACTAAATCTTAGGTATTAGTAGTATCATAAAGTACTTAACAGCGTGCAGCTAATTTCAATAAAAGGTATCACACAGCAAGTACACTTTGGGCTGATTTTCACAATCACTGTGTTCATAAGAATACATGGCTACCAAATTCATCTACTTTCATTGGTAAGTAAAGTCCTGTTTTGAACTGTAAGATTAATTTTAATGTTAAGTTCAGGAGAAGCTGATCAAGAGAAGGCTGATAGCAGCAAAGCTGGCCCAAGGACCTCGTCTGCATTTTGTTTATCTCTCTATTCCAGGGAAAGTTGCATTGTCTCAACTTTAGGGCTGTTAATGACAATTACACGTTTAACTCGAGGATAACAAACACAGTGACTAAATAACTAATCAAAAGGTCTGGATTTGCATAGTAGGAGTGACACACTCGCACCCGAAATGAAATTAATCACATTCAGCATACTGACATCAGATTTGGAGGGACCCGGCTAGAGAATTCAATTTGTGAATTATTATTTGGCCAAAAAATTCTGCCAGTGTCCATTTTGCCAAATTCTATTGTTGGGGAGAATACAAAATTAGGGGTAGATTAGATAGATGATAAATAGAATGATATAGGTACAAATAGATAGACAGATGAAAGACACAAATAGACGATACAGACAGAGATAGAGACAGACAGACAGACATAGACAATAGATACACAGACAGACAGACAGATATAGACAATATAGATGATATACAGTAGTGGCCAAAATTGTGGAAACCTTTTGGGAAAAGTGTATTTTCTAAAACCAGCTAATAACACCACTTTTTTTTTAGTAGTATCATAAAATTATGTATCAATGGAAAGATAATTTAGTAAGAATTTAATGCAATAACTTTTATGAAGGATTTGCTATTAGAGTAGCAGTTACAGTATAAACAAGAAAAGTGAAACACATAGAAAAAAATGAGATATACAAAAATTATCACCATGTCAGTTAATCCTTCGTTGGGTAACCTTTAGCATGAATGATGGACTTACAAGGTCTTCCCATGGAGTGAACCAAGCCTTTTAGTTCTGCAGCTGTTCTAATGTGAAACCAAGATTGAATGGTGGCTTCTATTAACTGGGTTTTATTGCTGGGTCTCTTCTGACTAAAAAGTTTCTTTAGTCGGCTCCATAGACTTTCAATTGGATTAAGGTCTGGGCTCTTCCCAGGCCATTCCAGCAGTGGAATAGGAATGAAACTTCCCCCAAAAAGTGGTCCTATAGCCATGAAACCTCAAAAATACACTTTCCCCAAAATTCACAATTCTGTAGTACCGTGTAGTACCCAAAAATAAGACCTCCCCTGATAATAAGCCCAACTGGGCATTTGAGCGCATGCACTAAAATAAGCCCTCCCCGAAAATATTTAAACGCAGAGCTGGAAATCAGATAAGATGGCAAGAGGAGCCCCATCTTGCTCCACGCGCCCTAAAATAATATGACCTCCCCAAAAATAAGGCCAAGTGCTTATTTCGGGGTTCAAAAAATATAAGACGGGGTCTTATTTTTGGGGAAACACAGTAGAAAATGAAAATACATTTTTTTCTTTACAGTGATTGAGGAGAGACGTAGATCAAGCTTACATTCGTCCTGCTGGTTCTCAGAAACTTAAAACAACATGGAAATACAGCTAGTCCCTTACAATTCACTTAGGGACCATTCGAAGCTACAGCGACATTGGAAAAGAGTGGCTCATGATCATTTTTCACATGACCACTGCAGTCTTCCCATGGTCACAAATTCAGCTGCTTGGCAACTGATTCATATTTATGACGGTTGCAGTGTCCCACGGTCATGTGATCCCCTTCTGACAAGCAAAAGTCAATGGGGGGAGCCAGATTCACTTAACAACCATGTTAACTAGCCTAACAACTACAGTTGTTGTTAGCTACGTAATTTAGTTATGTAAAGTTATGTACTTTACAACGGTGGCAAGGAAAAGTCGTAAAATGGGCCAAAACTCACTTAACAACTGTCTCGCTTAGCAACAGAGGTTCTGGGGTCCATTGTGCTCTCCCTGTACTTGGGCTTCGTTCTTCCTGGGGCTACTCCAACCACTAGCTTTGTTTCAACGCCGAAAACACGTCCATCCGAGTGGCTGGAACTTGGCCCAATAGAACCTGGATTCTAAAAGCTTTCCTACAAAGTAGCCAGAACAAGCGTACCGTTACTCAAGGGAGGCTGTCCAATAGCCAGGGGTTTAATAGCTTTTCTTCAATAAAACAGAGATCACAGTATCAACTGGGTGAACAGGAAAGTTTCATTTGTACATCAATCAAAGCATTAAAGTGGAACTACATGCACTGTAGGTCGCCCAGAGCAGGGGTCTCCAACTGTGGCCACTTTAAACCTGGAGGACTTCAACTCCCAGAATTCCCCAGACGGTTGCCAAAGTTGGAGACCTCTGCTCCAGAGAATTTCGGTTGCTGACTGGCCTCCTCCAAGATTCCCAGCCATTAGGAAATTACTCTGGCGTTTTAGGCATTGTGAAGTAACTACCAGGGATATTACTTTTTGCAGTAATGCTTCCACACTAAACCCAGCCACTCCTTCAAAAGCTCCTTAGTCGCCTTGTGGGGAGGAAAAAAAAAAAAATCACGATAGCCTTAAATGGAAGCTCAAGATTTTCTGGAACTGACCGTCAACTTTAAAACTCCGCAGTTAAAAGAGGAATTTTGGCTACCAAGGAGATCAAGGGATGATAGCAAAACACGGCAGAAGGACTAAGTGGAGAAACGTGAACGGCAAAATCCAAGACCTTTCCCCCCCTTTTTTTTAAATGCTTCGGGATAATTTTTAATCAACTACAACATGAAAACTGGGTGACACCTGTCAAAATTCACTTCTTGCTGCCTGTGTGATTGTGTGGCCTCTTCCCCCACTTTAATTACATCACACAATGACTCTTTAAGAGCTAGAGGAAGGACCGTTTTGCCTTGCAGTGAGGCTGCCGCTGATCTCTTCTGAGAATATTCCAAAAATGATGTGCAATCACCCCACCGCCTTTCAGCCTGAAGGCTCTTCTCATCCTTGCCCTTCAAGGGGATCCAGGGTTTCATTCTCAATGGGTACCCCTGAACTTTCTCCTTCCTGGCTAGACTCCCCTCAAACGAAGCAGAGTCTTGGGGAAAGGCTTTTGGGGGTGGGGGAGGAGACAGGGGGAAAGAGGAGGCCAAAATACCATGAAAAACTACTGCAGTACATTATTTTGGCGTTATCCCACCCCCCAAAAAAAGGAAACGGGAAAAAAAAGGGGGTGAACTTGAGGGAACGCCTGGGATGAAAGAGGACATGAGTTCTGAGCGAGACTCCAAGAAGCAGCCTAGAGTGGCGCATCGAAAAAATTGCTGCCACGGAACACGGAGGAGACAATTTTGCCCGTCGAATTGATGGTGCCCTCGCTGTCCGAGCTGGATTCGGAGTCGCTGCTTCCTGAGTAAGCCCCAAGGCCGGGCAGGATGCCGATGCAGACGGCGGCCGAGGGGCAGTGGAGGGCAGAGCCGCTCATGGCACTGCTGCCCAGGGAAACGCAAGATGGTTTTTCTGAAAGAGAAGAAAAAAAAGGACTGTGGAAATACAGTTTCACGATCATATGCTGTTTCCAGTTTCCTTCAAACAGAAGAACGTCTTATTTATTTTTTATTTTATTTTATTTTAATTTATTTGATTTATATGCCGCCCTTCTCCGGAGACTCAGGGCGGCTTACAGTGCGTTAAGCAATAGCCTTCATACTTTTGTATATTTTATACAAAGTCAGCTTATTGCCCCCACAAACTGGGTCCTCATTTCACCCACCTTAGAAAGGATGGAAGGCTGAGCCAACCTTGAGCCTTGGAGAGATTCGAACTCACAGTAATTGCAGGCAGCTGGATGTTAAATGCTGCCTTAGTAGGAGACATTAGCCTCCTACGCCACTCAGGCTCCTAAGGTTAAGGCTCTTAAAAGGTTAAATCATGGCCACTGGATTATTAAAACTGAGACGTTTCGTTACTCATCCAAGTAAGTTCTTCTATCAAAATTAAGGTTTGGGTAAGCAGAGTCAGAGGAAAGAATCAATTCTTGCCATACAGACTGCAGGGGGTTTCTGCCCAAAACTGAGGACAGGAGCAAAATGGGCCTTTAACCCCTTAATTAAGTGTTCCTAAACTGTGGCAACATTTAAGATGTGTGGACTTCAACTCCCAGAATTCCTTCAAGAATAAGAATTCCCATGGCTGGCTGGGGAGTTCTGGCAGTTGAAATCCACATGTCTTAAAGTTGCCAAGGTTGAGAGGCAATGCTCTAATCTCTTCAGAAGCTTCTGCCGGGTAGTCCTTGACTTATAAGTGGTTGCTTAGTGACTATAAAAAGTTATGATGGACCCCAAAAAAGGGGACTTATGAAGTTCCAACGCTTGCCCATCCCTGGTCATGTGACTGCACTTCAGGTGCTTGGAACAAGGCTGCATTTGGGGCTGTTTGCAGAGTCCTGTGGTCTTGTGACTGTGTTTTGTGATGGTTTTGCGGAAAATCATCACTTCTAGTTTTTGGCCACCTCACAGCGTTGTTCTTGGAGAGAAAATAGAAGGAGGGAGGAGGATCAGATCTGTTCGCCACCTTGAGTTATTTATAAAAAGAGTAAAGGTACGATTAAATAAATAAAAAAAAATCCCTGCCTATGGGAAAGAATTTGAAAACTTTGGCTGAGAAGACTCTCCATCCAGGAGAAAGACCTAAGCCTCGTTCTGTCTCCAGTGAAGTGAAAACATCTCTCCAAATGCCAAATTTTTGTGTGTGCAACGTGCCATTGTGGGCCAAGCGTCACACCGAATTATCAACCATCCCTGCCAAGCATTTGGGAGAATGACTAATATTGAAAGAGATTAGAGGCAGCCACCCTTCTGTGGCTAATTAGCCTGGAGACCTTAGAAGGGGAACCAAGTGAGCAGATGGCAAGGCAGTGTGCAACAACACCCATCCCTTGAATTAGCCACATGCCTGGCCTCCGGAAGCAAAACAGCAAAAGTTTGGACCAGGCACCATCACAAAGACAGACATAGTCCAATTTTGTGAAGTTTCTGTCCATAGTTCTCTAGCAATTCTGCCCTGGGAGAGACTTCAAGGGCCACAATCAGTAAAAGAGATTGTGAGTTATGTCAAGCAGAACAAACAGCGATGCATCTGTACGGAGGCTAATGGCGCGGTTCTCAAACCAGGATACTGAGCTTGGAAAAGTCATCTTTTACTCTTTTCAGACACCGGGTTACTCCGATCCAATTGCAATGCTGGATCACATTCATTTTGTCTGAATGTTCGCAAGAGATTTTCGATCATCCGTGTCATAGTTTTTATCCCAGAGCTTTAGTTGCACTCAACAATGAACTAAAGGGCCACCATCAGTGAGCTGTTGGACAGCATTACTTGGTCTGTTGTGTGGATGTTTGGGTGGTTTAGAGGTGGGGAATTTGTGGTGGGTGGGGGTGTGTTTGGGGATTGTTATGTGTGTTGGACCTGGTCTTTGGCCGTTAAGTGAATTTCATTGTATGGGTATACTGTGTATACACGTACAATGACAATAAAGTTATTCTTATAGTTAGCCCAAAGGTGATTTTTTTCCTAACTGTATTGTACTGTACTCCAGTCTATTCAATTCAATTCAATTCAATTCTGTTCTGTTCTGTTCCACTCTGCTCTACTCTACTCCAGTCTATTCAATTCTGTTCTGCTCTATTCCAGTCTATTCTGTCTTATTCTGTTCTGCTCTGCTCTACTCCAGTTTCCTCTACTATTCGGATAAGACCGCAATAGGACCAGGACTCAACATGGCAGGTGTGCTGCAGCTGAACCAAAAGATTCAATTTGGATTCTATCTATCCCTTAAGACCTTAATAGGGTTAGGACCCAACACGGCAGTTGAGCTAATCTCCTCCATAAATGGGAAAAGCTCTCCTCTTCGGAATGTAGCGGTGGGGCTCCAAAGCAGACAGTGCGACATATTGTGGAATATATGAGGGAAATCTCAGAGACTTTCTGCCTGCAATTCCACCGTGGCTTGACTTTTCAAGCATCCTACCTTTGAATTTGTAAACAGAGTAAATCGTTTCAGTTCTGTTCACTGAGAATGTAATCATGATGTGCTTTTTAAAATTGTTGCCATAAGCTAAATAAATAAATATCTTCTCCTACCAGGCCCCCTTGCATGGACAGCTTCTTCCAAGAAGAGCACAGTCAAAGGCTGCTCACTCAGTCTAGTCTGCTGCTAGATTTCATCCAATATCACAGTGTTTCTCAGCGTTCTTGGCATTTTTAAGAAGGGTGGGCTTCAACTCCCAGAATTCCCCAGCCAGCTTTGCTGTCACCAAGGTTGAGAAACACCGCAGTATCACATTAGTAAAATCCCCTTCCATCCCAACCTCTCAAAGGCAGAGCTAACCATGCAAAGCACTGAACCAGGGGTGAAATGCTCCCAGTTCGGACCAGATCGCCCGATCCGGTAGCGATGGAGGCGGGTGGTTCAGAGAACCAGTAGCAAAAATCCCTGCCCCCCCCGCCCAGCTGAGCTGTGCAAACATCAGAGGCTTTTTTAAAAAAACAATTTAAAGCATTTTTTCTACAACCTCTTCGGCCGAAAAAATGCTTTTAAAAGTAAAAAAAAAAAGCATCTGATGATCACACGGCTCAGCTGGGATCATCAGAGCCTTTTAAAAGCATTTTTTCTACAACCTCTTAAGAGCCTCTGACGATCCAAGCTGAGTTGCCTGATCGGCAGAGGCTTTTTTTCTTTTAAATGCCTCTGACAATCCCAGCTGAGTTGCCTGATCGGCAGAGGCTTTTAAAAGAAAAAAAGCCTCTGCCGATCAGGCAACTCAGCTGGGATCACCAGAGCCTTTTGAAAGCATTTTTTAACAACCTCTTCGCTGAAGAGGTTGTAGAAAAAATGGTTTTAAAAGTTAAAAAAAAAAAATTGGCCATGCCCACCCAGTCACATTACCCCCCCTCCCCACTAAGCTACGCCCACAGAACCGGTAGTAACAAATTTTAGATTTCACCGCTGCACTGAACCCCATAAACCTGGAATCTTCCCAATTCGGATACACACCTGCAACCTTATCGTGGTCAGGATCCGGGTCCAGTTTCAATCTTTTTACACTGTTGGCACCTTCTGAACTGCAAAGAGACACAAATCCGAAGAGCGGAACTTAAATTAGTTCCTTTATGGAAAACAGACAAGCAGAAAGATATAAACACATCATACTAAGGTGACCGCAGTTGGTTCAGATGCCACAGCTGGCTGACATCATTCCTCCATAAACGGTGAGTTACAAACTACAAGGCAGTTCTCATCTGGCGTGGTAAACCAAAGATTTTTTAAAAAATTATACAACCCTATTATGGTATTAAGAATGGAGAAGAGAAGTAGCTCAGAACTGAACTGAGGTGGGTTTTGTCTGAACTTGGCTTTCTTCTGGCAGATGTTTCATTACCAGACTAGGGAACATCAGCAGTGCTTCTCATGTGGTTACTAGCCTGATAATGAACCCTCACAGGAAGAAAAAAGAATGCTACCCTTATGGCTTATCACAGTACAAGACACAGTACAATTTAGAACAATCAACCAGAGGAACCACTTGCCTTCAGAAGTTGTGGATGCTCCAACACTGGAGCTTTTTAAGAAGAGATTGTACAACCCTTTGTCTGAAATGATCTATGGTCTCCTGCTTGAGCAGAAGGTTGGACTAGAAGACCTCCAAGGTCCCCCCCCCCCCGACTCTCTTATTCTTATCTTTGCAAATTAGCAATTAAGAGAACATGCTAGAATACACCTTAATAGGAATGGCTGCTATGAAGACAGATTGATTGTTCACACACTGGATAGCCTTTCTCCTCCTCCGGAAGAAAATGATGTTCTCATGTGAAACGTTACAAATCACAAATGCCAATTTAGGAGAGGCTTCCTACGACTCACTGCCTTCCGTTGAGGGCCTGTATACTGCGCGAGTCAAAAAGAGGGCTGTGAAAATCCTGGACATAAACTGTTTCAACTCCTACCCTCAAAACAACGCTATAGAGCATTGCACACCAGAACAACTAGAGACAAGGACAGATTTTTCCCGAATGCCATCGCTCTGCTTAACAAATAATTCCCTCAACACTGTCAAATTAGTTACTAAGTCTGAATTACTATTAATCTTCTCATCGTTCCTATCACCCATCTCCTCCCACTTATGACTGTATGACTGTAACCTTGTTGCTGGTATCCTTACGATTTATATTGACTGTTTCCCTATGACTATCATTAAGCGTTGTACCTTATGATTCTTGACGAATGTATCTTTTCTTTTTATGTACACTGAGAACGTATGCACCAAGACAAATTCCTTGTGTGTTCAATCACACTTGGCCAATAAAGCATTCTATTCTATTCTATTCTATAGTCTTCATTGGGCACTACCATGCAGTAATGGATGGTAGTGCTCAATGAATAAATCAGTGGAATGGCTTGCCTTCAAAAGTTATGGGTGCTCCATTACTGGAGGCTTTGAAGAAGAGACTGGACAAACATTTGTTCAAAATGGTATAGAGCCGTGATGGCGAACCTATTTCACGCGTGCCAGAAGTGGCATGCAGAGACCCATCTCTCCGGGCATGCCAGCCATTGCCCGTTGCTCTTCCGAGTTCCGTTGCACACATGTGCACTGGCCAGCTGGTCTTCACATGTGTGGGAGCGCCAGAAACTGGAAAAGCAGCTCCCTAGTGCGCATGTGCATGCCGGGAGGCTGAGCTTCCAGTTTGCGGTGCACACCAGTAAGCTGGTCTTCGTGCATGCATGCGCACCAAAAACCACAGCTGGCCAGTGCGCATGCTGCAAACCGGAAGCATGTGCATGCCAGGGAGCTGCTCTTCCAGTTTCCAGTATTCCCCCTGCGCGCACACTCCCGTTTCGGCACTCGGTGCAGAAAAGGTTCGCCAACACTGGTATAGAGTCTCCAGCTTGAGTAGAGGAGTTGGATTAGAAGATCTTTTTGTTGTCTCAGCTCATCCCTTGTTTCTCCTGATCACGTAAACATCCAATAATCCTGCCTCTCAGGCTTCCGGGAAAGACCCAAAGACCACAAGGCTGAGGATCAGTGTCTCACAACATGTCAGTTTCCCATCCACTCACCTTCCTAAGATAAAAATAGTGAAGAGGGAGAGAGGAGCCTGTCAGGCACATGTCGACTCTGTAAGCACTTAGCATAGCCTTAGGGTTCCAACCTGCGGCTACTCTGGGGCGAGAATCCATTATGCACTGATTCTCTTGCTCTCCTCCTCGTACAGGTAATCCTCGACTTACAACCACAACTGAGCCCCAAATTTCCACTGCTAAGCAAGACAACTTAAGTGTAGTACTTTGCCCCATTTTATGATCTGTCTTTCAACAGTTGTTAAGTGAATAACTGCAGTTACCACCGTATTTTTCAGAGTATAAGACGCACCTTAGTTTTTGGGGAGTAAAATAAGAAAAAAGCTGATTGGCAGGTGGATCTGTTCCCGGAATACCCCCAATCAGCTGTTCCCACAGATGAATTTTAGCAACAGGTTCGTTGGTTGTGAGCTCTGTGCCTTGCCTTTTTTGCTTTTTTTTTCTGCCACTGAAACTTCTGAAACTCTGTTTCAGAAAAAACTTTTTTTCCTGCCTCTGAAAGCCTCCGAAACCTGGCCCTCCTTTTCCTGGAACGTATCCAGAAGGAGATCCAATTCCTAATGAGATCTTTGGGGAGACTTGTCGCTGAGCGGCTGCCCATTGCAGGTCCAAGTGTACCTTGTTTCCCCAAAAATAAGACATCCCGATAATAAGCCCAATTGGGCTTTTGAGCGCATGCCCTAAAATAAGCCTCCCCCTGAAAATAAGCCCTCCCCAAAAATATTTAAATGCACAGCTGGAAATGTAAGACGGCAAGAGGAGCCCCATCTTGCTCCACACGCCCCAAAATAATAAGACCTCCCTGAAAATAAGGCCAAGCGCTTATTTCGGGGTTCAAAAAAAATATAAAACAGGGTTTTATTTTCGGGAAAACATGGTAACTGAATATATCCAGATGCTTCTGGATATGCAGAACCTCATTTCCCGATGTACATACATGTCACAGTTATAACGCCAGCTCCGGAGGGAAAAAAAAGAGATTGATTTCATCCAATTGCCAAAAATCTGGAATGCATTGATTGATTGATTGAATTTATATTGCCGCCTATTCGCCCATGGCACCTCAAGGCGGCTTACAGAATATAAAACCACATTTAAAACAATAAAACTAATAAAAAGAATCAAATAAATTAATATAGTATAATGTAATAAAATCACCCCCACCTCCTGTCCTGGCGACAACAGATCACATGAGCCATTTAATGGGCTCCATGCCGCTCTGGGTTCCCCAGGCCTGCTGGCAGAACCAGGTCTTCAGCGCCTTCCGGAAGAATATGAAGAGGGGAGGCCATTCTAATCTCTGGGGTAATAAAGTTCCAGGGAGAGGGAGCCACCACGGAGAAGGCCCTTCTTCTGGGTCCCACCAGGTGTATCTCCAGAGGCGGGTTTCAAAACCCATCGCTACCGGTTCGCTTGTGGGCGCTCGCGTGTGACACTTCTGTTCAGCCACTACCAGTTTGCCCGAACCAGTAGCAACCCACCACTGTGTATCTCCCTCAGGGATGGGACCCGCAACATTGCTTGTCTTCCCACTCTGGTGGGTCAGGTAGATGTGACCGGCAAGACACACCTGGTCCCAAGCCATGAAGGGCTTTAAAGGTGACAACCAGCACCTTGAATTGAACCCGGAAGCAAATCGGCAACCAATGCAGCTTCCTCAGGAGAGGTGATACATGTGCACATCGGGGTCTGCACAAAACCATGCAGGCCGCTGTATTTTGCACCAACTGGAGCTTCCGGATGCTCTTCAAGGGCAGCCCCACGTAGAGCGTGTTGCAATACTCAAGACGGGAAGAGACTAGGGCATGAGTGACTGTGAGTCATTTAATTAGTTTTACTGCATGGAAAAGTCCAAAGATTTGAGTTCTTTGTTACTGCTGCTACTCTGAGCCTCGGGGGCAAAACTACCGAGTTGCAAAACATACCTTCTGTGTTTCACAGCTCCTGCCAACAGCTTGGCCTGAGAGAATTTGCTCTTGTTTTCTGATTTTACCGAGAGTTTCTTGTCCGCTTCCTTCTTCAAGTCGGCGCTCGCTCCGACTTTTGACAAAGTGTTGTGAACTCAAAGTTAAGGAGAAAAAGAATGCAGTGGGGGAAGCACAGAAGACACGCAAAATAAAATTGTGCTACAGCTTTATACGCTGTTGCATAGCCGTATTTACAGCCCCACAAGCGTTAACCAGTAGGTTTATTAATTTCTTTCTTACCTCTTTGCTACTACACTTACTTAGCATTTGGTTATGGCATACAAAAAGTTTGGAAAGAGAGTACTGTATGTACAAATATGTGTAAACTAACTTTACTGGACCTTTTTCCCCCCAGCAAGCATAAAGTTAAGAGGACTGATACAAAGACCTATTCAGTTAAAGCAAGAAAACTTGCACGTGGCACACGCAATCCATTCAAGTTAACCATCTACTGAGCTACATAACTTGGTCTATTATAATATTAGAGTTCAAACAAAGAGCTTTTTCTTAAAACCAAATAAGGATTAGATTCAAATTCTACATTTCCTAGTTTTTACCTCAGCTAAAGCTAACCTGTGCATATTTCTCTCTCTCTCTGTGTGCATCTCTCTCTCTCTCCCCCTCCCTCCCTCCTCTAAATAGAGATCGATAGTGATATGTAGATAGATAATCTCTGCCACATTAGATTCATATCATGATTAGTTTGGAATTCCGCTAAATTAGCTCTCTAGTGCCACCAACTGAATCTGAGAATGGCACTGGCACGCTTACCAAAAACCAACACTGGGCAGGATCTTTATGGAAAACAGCCCAAAATAGCCACAACACTTAGATTTATATACCACTTCACATATATAATGCGTTTTACAGAATCAGCATATTGACCCCCAATAATCTGGGTCCTCATTTTATTGACCTCAGAGGAGGCAACCTTGAACTGGCTGGGGAATTTTAGGAGTTGAAGTCCACCTGTCTTCAAGTGGCCAGGATGAGAAATCCTGGCTTAAAGAAACAGAGATGAGCACTGCCACCTAAAGCTGGCTACAAGTAGCGGAGTAAAGGAAAGTCCAGTTGCCTCCTGAAAAAGCACGTTAGCCTTTCTTTTTCATAGATGCTGCGAAGTCATGCACAGCCCGCAGAGCAGCAACTGGTAAGTCACAGATGGAAACTGGAAACAGCTAAGCAAACAAAAGATAAAAGGATGAAATCATGGAAAATTTACAGCGGAGCCTCAGTCAAACCAGCCTGACCAGCCAACACACAGCCTAGCCCTTTAGAAGCTTAGTCTGGCAAAAGCTAGCAGACGTGTGCTTGAACAGGAATTCAATGGCTTTTCATCCCCCGCCCCAGTAGATTTTACTCACATTATTAGCTGAACTAATAACCCCAGCCTGCTGTTTGTTCAATCCAGTGATGAAATGTAAAATTTGTTACTACAGGTTTTGTGGGCGTGGCTTGGTGGTGGTGGGGTAATGTGACTGGGTGGGCGTGGTCAACTTTTTTTTTAACTTTGAAAAGCATTTTTTTCTACAACCTCTTCGGCCGAAAAATGCTTTTAAAAGTAAAAAAAAAAACTCTCTGATGATTGCGCAGCTCAGCTGGGCGGGGGGTGGGGGGGTGGGGGCTGCCATCGCTGAACCGGGAGCATTTCACTGCTGGTTCAATCCATATGCAACAAACCTGATATTTTAAATATTTAAAATCAAGGAGACATGTAGACCATGATGAGGGACTCACCGAATCGGGAATCTGGACAGACCACACTCTGCAGTCAATTTAAAAAAAATATGGACTTTTATGATAATTCCTTGTGGATATTTCTAGATTTGTACAAGTTGACTGGTTTGGTCACTAAAGAAGAAAAGATACTGTAAATTTTAAATGGGAGTCAGTTTGCAGTGAGATTATTATTTCAGCTGTCTTCACCTTATGACTGTTATTAAGCCCAGAATGATGGCTGTAAGTCATGACAGTCATTAAGTGAGTCTGTTTTACCTAGATTTTTTTTTTTTTGCTGGAAACCTGGAGAAACCTGCATAGTATGTCATAAGTTTGGGTAAAAAAATGCAAATCAGTTGCCAAATGCCCAAACTTTAATCACATGACCAGGGAGAGGGAGGCACCTGTTGGAACTACTCAAATGGGAGGTCTGGTGTAACTTCAAATGGTCGCTAAGCAACCAGACATAAGCCGAGGACTACCTGTAGGCACAGAGATGGAAAGATCTGATGCTCCCTGCAAAGGAGAAAGACAGCCCAAGTGCCCAAATGTTGATCATATGATTATGTTGTGATGATTGTTAAGACTGGTCATAAACCACTTTTTTCAGTGCACTGTTAACTTTGAACCGTTGCTAAATGAACGGTTGAAAATGAGGGACTACCTACACAAAGTTGTCCGATGTTAAAAGTTCATGATAAAATATAACAATAGACACTAAAACTGTATAAGTGGCAATAGTTAAGAATATAAATGTATGGATATCATTACAGTCTACTTTTCAAATCAAATTGCATTGACTGTCTCAGGCCAAAGATTTAAAGCAGCAAAACGATTTATAAGTGTGACACATCATGGCACAACAATGACGCTTATTCACCCCGACTAAACTATTAAAGCCACTCATTTAGTGACCGTTGAAAGTTACAACGGCACTAAAAAAAGTGATTTATGACCGTTTTACACACTTAGGACTGTTGCAGCATCCCCAAGGTCACGTGATCAAAATTTGGACACTTGTCAATTGACTCATATTTATGTCCCAGGGTCATCCGGTTCCCCTTTTGCGACCTTCTGACAATCAAAGTCAGTGGGGAAGCCAGATTCATTTAACAACCGGGTTACTGACTTAATAACTACAAGGGTTCACTTAACAACTGTGGCAAGAAAGGTCATAAAATGGGGCAAAACTCACTTAACACAGAAAGTCACTTAGCCACATAAAATTTTTTAGCTCTATTCTGGTGGTAAATTGAGGAATAGTTGAAATACCTTGCACACCAATAATGTAAACTTGGCACTTGTCTTAGAAGAATTTAACACTCCAAATAGTTCAAAGACAAAAACAAGGCTTCCCAGAAACACGCTGATGGCTGCTTCTGAAATCCCCCCTACCCCAGAGGAAGAAGGACCCCCCCCCTTTCAGGGCCAAGGATATCCGGTACTCATTCAATTCCTTGAGGTCTTCTTCGTGACGCTGCTTTTCTATCAGGACTTGCTGCCGAGAAACTTCATCGAGGAACTTGGACTCATCTTCATCCAGGCCCCTGACCATATTTTCTGTAGAGAACAAGCTAAGATTGCGATAAACCCACAAATTTGGCTACAGCATCTCTGCCGTCTTATTTCAGCATGGTTTTTTTTTTAAAATTCCATCAGTTAGGAAGATATGGGACAGCCTGTTGGATGGATCTCCCATTCAGATGCGACGGGCCACATTTGAGTTTGGACCTCGTCTCAAACTTACAAACGCTGTTTCTGAAGAACTCCAGATAATTGATGTATCTTATATCATTTATGTAAATTTACTTGTCCGACTATGAAATTGCATTAATTATGGAAATGTCATCGATCAGCTTTAACAAACTTTTGGTTCCTGCAGACCCCCCTCCTTCCACCATTCAAGCTTTTACTGAAGATTTAAGAGCCTCGGTGGTGCAGCGGACTAAAGTGCTGTTAAGTGCTAGCACATAGCTGCCAGCTGCCTGCAATTAGTGCAAGTTTGAATCTCACCAGGCTCAAGGTTGACTCAGCCTTCCAGCCTTTCGAGGTAGGTAAACTGAGGACCCGGATTGTGGGGGCAATAAGCCAACTTTGTATAGAACAACACCGCTTAGGGGCCCCCGAAAGCCCTAATAAGCAGGTATATACAAAAAAGTATGCAGGCTATTGCTATAATGCATTGTAAACCGCCCTGAGTCTACGGAGAAGGGCAGCATATAAATTGGACTAATAAATAAATAAATAAATAAATAATTTATAAAAAGGCTGAACCACCATCCTGGCTGATGCTATCACAGTAAATACACATTCCTATTTACCTGTTTTGCTGCCATTTAATCTGCTTTCAAGATCCATATTTCCCAAGAATGTGAAAGTTTACACAGTCTTCTTTTATAACACTATAGCTTCCTAGACAGGAATATTTTTTTTGGCCTGAGGAGCACTTACCCATTCACCCCACTGCCAATCTGAAGCAGCCCAGAAACAGATTTCATCATAGTAGGGCCTGGGCTGCCAAACTTTTAGCGCAATTTGATGAACTAGCTTGCAGTGCCCTGGCTTACGCGTAGCATAAAAATCAGAAACCTTCATTTATAAAACCCACTCCCTGGGATAATGCAACATGCTAAGGCAAAATCAAAAAACCTTTACCGCTTGCCACAATGTGTGAACCTGTCAGAAAGCAGAAATAGAAAACGTAACTCTAGCAAAAAGAGCACCACTCTGAACTAAAATTCCTCACTATGGAATCTGGAGGTTCATTCAATAATCTGGGTTCTGAGATCAAAGGCTACTGAAGATACAATGCTTTATAATCTTAAGGACTAGAAACATTAACAAAGCAGTATGTTTTACTGTTAGTGTTAACTATACAAAATTCTACTCAGAGTCGGCAAACCACTTAGCCCTGAAAAAGAGCCTATGTCTGCAGACCGGGTGATGCTTTTACACACCAAGATAACAAAATACAAAAAAGAGAGGTGGCGATGAAGAAGCACAAGAGGCAGACAAAACCAATTACTTAAAATGCACCAATGGACTCTTTCAACCGAAGCCAAGACAATTGTGGCTCAGCACAATGTACAACCACTCCTTTCCAAAAGCCAATGATTCCATGACAGAATGAAGGAAAGGCCATGAGAAAGGGCCAGTCTACGGATGTTGCATCTCACAATTGTCCGGATGATCCTTACCTGAAAGGCTGTTGCCAGCCAACGTAAACAAGCTAGGACTGTGTTTATTAACTTTAGCAACTTGTGTGGGCTTCAATTCCCAGAATTCCCCAGCCAGAAAATCCATACACTTTAAAGTTGCCAAGACTGTGGAATACTGAGCTAGGGAGTTGACTAACTGGATACAGTGAGATAATTCTGAGTTGAAGGATTGGAGAACACCTCATATTCAAGCATCGAAAGAGGTTTCTGAGCATGCAGGAGTGCAAACATAACATCTATGTGTTAATGCTTCAAAGCAGCTGCACCCAGTGGTGAAATGTAAAATTTGTTACTACTGGTTCTGTGGGTGTGGCTTGGGGGGGATGTAATGTGACTGGGTGGGCGTGGCCAACTTTTTTTTTTTTAACTTTTAAAAGCATTTTTTCTATAACCTCAAGAGGTTGCAGAAAAAAATGCTTTTAAAAGTCTCTGACGATCAGGCAACTCACCTGAGATCATCAGAGGCTTTTAAAAGCATTTTTTTTCGACAACCACTTCGTCCGAAGAGGTTGCAGAAAAAAATGCTTTTAAAAGTAAAAAAAAAAAAGCCTCTGATGATCGCGTGGCTCAGCTGGGCATGGGGGGAGGGGCAGGGATTTTTGCTACCGGTTCTCCAAACCACCTGCCGCTATCACTACTGGATCAGGCGATCCGGTCCAAACCGGGAGCATTTCACCCCTGTCTGCACCTCTTTTCTAAGGATCATGGGGCTGCTCTAAGGCAGACTTTGTCAAACTTAGCAACTTTAAGGTAGGTGGACTTCAAGTGCCCATGGCGGGTTGGGAAATTCTGGGAATTGAAGTCCACAAGTCTTAAAGCCGCACCCCTGACATAAAGCTTCACATTAGGGAAGAAAGATCAGGAAGTTAACAACAAGTGGTGCCAGATGGAAAGATAACACACAAATGATTTCTTCTCGAGGTCATTTCCCCATTGTCCACGGACGTAGGAAGGTAGAAGAAACCTGTGACTAAACCTGCAACTTTTGAAGCGAAGAAGAAAAGTTGGCAGCTTTGCCAAGCTTCACACTTCAATGCTTTCCCCTTTCCTCTGCGGAAGTGGGCAGACTGGTTTCTGGATTCCAGCAGTAGCCAAGAAGCCAGCTGTGGTACCCTGGCACAACTGTAAGAGGGTGGCAAAGCCTTCTCCATACGGAAGCATTTCAGGAGGGACAGTTCTGTTCTTAAGGATGCCATTCCAGGGAGACAAGAAAGAAAAAACAAGGGGTCAATCTTTGTGTGGCTGAATTTCAGGGACGCTTAGTGAAACTTACTGAATTTGAACTGTTCTTCAAACTCCTGCTGCTTCTTGTCCTTCTGTTCCTGAAGCCTTTCATAGAGAGATCGGGGATCATACACTTCTTCAGGACATTCTAGGAGAAGGAGAAACAGATTTGTCAGTCAGAATTCAGGAATTGCTCTAACAGAAAATTTACTCCATCCATCGAGTTAATCAACCACATGCGAACCGGGGGCAATCCACCACTGGAACATTGTTATCTGTTCAATATTACTATACAAACTTTCTTCCTTAGCTTCCTTTTCCAGTTAAATAAATAGCTAGGAATATTTTCAGGACATTGAACTGGTCTATTACTGTATTTTTCAGAGTATAAGATGTACCGGACTATAAGACATACCTATCTTTTTTGGTGAGGAAAACAAGAAAAAGAAATCTGCCTCTGCCTCTCAGCAATTTTGCCTCCTTGCAGCAAACAGCCTGCTTTACTTTCATTTTCGTTTTCAGCATAGCTTGATTAGCATAAGGAAAAAAAAAAAATCTGCTCCCAGCAATTTACCTCCTTGCAGCAAGCAGCAGAGCCCCACGCAAAACTGCAGAGAGCAAAACAGCTGAGAGTCAGGAGGCCGATCCAATCAACTTGTGCTAATTAGGCTGTGCTGAAGCTGAAAGGAGCTGTTTCTTCTTGCTGCAAGGAGGTAATTGCTGGGAGGCAGACGCCAAAAGGTGGGAGCCAGTGGATGGGCGGAGCTACATTTGGTGTATAAGACACATCTAAATTTTCACCTTTTAGGGGGAAAAAAGGGAAAAAAGGTGCGTCTTATACTCCGATAGTGTCATCTTGGTTATTACTTATAACTTTGCTCAAATAGGTTGCAGTGCATGTCCATGGGCCAGTACTTGGTTGAATGCTTCTTAGATCCACACTGAACCTGCTTGGGATTGTGACTCTTTAGATAATCCCCCAATTGACAGCCAAATACCTTTGGGGTCTTCAGGTTTCCGAACCTTCTCCCATTCCTCCTGTCTTCGCTTGCGTCGTTCTTCTAACTCAGCTTCTGAGACAAATCTTTTGTTAATTACAAGGTCCGCGCTGCTTTCTCCACCTTCCATTCTGGAGCAGCCTATGCAGAGAAAAGGGTTAGAACCAGGCCTGTAACTATAAGCTGTGCTTTCTAGCCTAGAATGGTCAATAATGCAATTTTTGCCTTGTATCTTGACTTAATAATACAGGTCTAGCACTTTGCAAGTGTGATCATTTGCCCAACAAACAGACAAAGGAAGACGAGAACACAAAGGACATGTCAGATGCCTATCAGCTAAAAAAAAATGCAAAGATATTTGAATCAAAGAATCAAATTAATTTTCTCCTTTCTTCAATCTCCTATTGGCGTTTGAAAAACAGATTTTCCACTGACCAAATTTGACTTTTAAGGTTCTTTCATTGACTAGGGATAAAGACCTTCCAAAATAAACAATGACTGGCCCTTTTGGAAAAGGGAAGGTTGGATCCACTTGAATTCTCAACGAACTGTAAATAATTTCAAGCAAAGATCTTTTTATGCTCGAGAAGCTCTGGGTGAAAAAAAAATGGTGGGACAAAGAATGCAATTATTTCTGCCCTATCACTCATAAAATTTAGGATTATACAGATTTAACACTAGAAACGAAAAGGAGGCAGCAACACACACTATTTCTTCAGCTGTAGGGACGAATTCTTCCCTCTATTAAACCAAGTCTCAACATACAAATTCAGAAGAATTAGATTTAATCAGAGCTCTTTCCTGGAACTTTTAAATTAATTGACATAGAACCATGAGAGTGACAGCTGTGATAGGAATACTATTTAATATGAATGAATAAAAACCCATGTTTTGAGAGGGTTTACTACCTGGGCAGTACAGCTGGTCCTTGATTTATGAACCAAAACATTTATGTGACTACACAAGATTGTCCGCTAGATGACATGCCCCATTTTATGACATTTTTTCCACAGTTAAGCAAATTACTGCAGTTGTTAAGTGAATCCAGCTTCACCACTGATTTTTGCTTATCGGAAGCCAGCTGGGAATGTTATCTGACTCCAGGAGAGTACAACTATCATAAATACACACCAAAGGATCCAAGTTTTGATTACATAACCCTGAGGATGCTGAAATGGTTATAAGTCATTTTTCCCCTGTGTTGTTATAACTTTTGAAAGGTCACTAAATGAATGGTTGTAAATCAAGGATTACCTGTATTGCGGATGGGATTTTTTATTTCTGAAAAAATGTCTCCAAACTGCAGAAGCAGGGGTGAAATTCAGCAGGTTCTGACAAGTTCTGGAGAACCAGTAGCGGAAATTTTGAGCAGTTCAGAGAACCGGCAAATACCACCTAGGGCTGGCCCCAGAGTGGGGTGGGAATGGAGATTTTGCAATATTCTTCCCCCAGAAGTAGGGAGGGAATGAAGATTGTGCAGTATCCTTCCCCTGCCACGACCACCAAGCCATGCCATGCCCACCAAGCCATTCCCACAGAACCAGTAGTAAAAAAATTTGGATTTCCCCACTGTGCAGAAGTTTAAAAAGCTAATAAGGAAGTCCAGATGGGTGTCGTGCGTATATGGCACACAACAATACTACTCATTACAATATAGGAGGGGCGAAGAAAAGAGATCAGCAACAATGCTAGTACCGGTAGTCCTTGACTTACGACCACAACGGAGCCCAAAATGCCTGTTGCTAACCAAAACCAAGGAGCCTTGGTGGCGCAGCGGACTGAAGTGCTGTTAAGTAGCACTTAGCTGCCAGCTGCCTGCAATTACTGCAAGTCCAAATCTCACCAGGCTCAAGGTTGACTCAGCCTTCCATCCATCCGAGGTAGGTAAAATGAAGACCCGGATTGTGGGGGCAATAAGCTGACTTTGTATAAAAAGAATACTGCTTTGGGGGGGGGGCGAAAGCCCTACTAAGCAGATATATACCTGCTTAGTATATCTTTTCCAGCAGGCCGGCCTGGCCTAAACTCTCTTTTAAACTGTTTTTTAAAACTTTTAAATTTTAAATTTGTCTTATGAATTTGGGGTGTTTTAAATTTTGTTTTCCGGGCCAATTATTTAATTGTATTTTAATGGTTTTTTAACATTTGTATTATATGTATTTTATTTGGCTGTTCACCGCCCTGAGTCCTTCGGGAGTAGGGCGGTATACAAATTCAATAAACAAACAAACAAACAAAAGTATGAAGACTATTGCTTAACGCATTGTAAGCCGCCCTGAGTCTCTGGAGAAGGGCGGCATATAAATCAAACCAATAAATAAATAAGTAAGTAAATAAATAAATAAACAAACATTTGTTCAGCCCCATTTTACCACCTTTCTAGCCACAGTGCTTAAGCGGATCACTGCAGCTTATTAAGTTCAGTAACCTGGTGGTTAAGTGAATCCGGCTTCCCCATCGACTTTGCTTGGCAGAAGGTCGCTAAAGGGGACCACACAATGCCAGGACAATGCAACCGTCGTAAATATGAGTCAATTGTCATGTGTCTGAATTTTGATCGTGGGGGGGATGGATGCAGCAACGGTCATTAAGCGCGAAATATGGTCCTAAGTCTCTCTTTTTTTTTTTTTGCAGCACCGTTGCAACTTTGAACGGTTGTAAGTCGAGGACTACCTGTCCTGAATGGTTCTCCCCCCCTGAAATCTTTCCTGGTGGTCCCCCATCCTACTGATTTTCCCATCCAGGCTGTGCTCAAGGTCGTTTATAAGGAACCCCGAAGGATTCTGGAGTCTGGCCCGTCGAGGGACACCCCACTCCTGTAGCCTCCAACGAGCCCATGTGGCTGTGGATGATGGGAGCGGGAACCATATCGGGAAGGCTACGTTTTGCATGAAGGACGGGTAAACGTCATCCTAATAATGGATTAAGCTGGTCTGTCGCCGGATCCTCAGCAAAATCTCCGGCAAAACGCCGAACCGGGAGAATTTCGCAAAAAAAAAAAAAAGGTCGATTCGAAACAGGTTTTTTTTCCCCCTCACGGACAGAACCGGATCATCTTTGCCCCGCTTTCTCCTCACGCGACCCCTTCCCCGCTCCTCTCCTCCGAAGCCCGGCCACGGGAGGGGGGCTCTCAGGCCATAAAAGGACGCCCCCTCAAAGAAAGACCCACCTCACCGCCATGGAACCCCCTCAGGCGACTCGCTCCTTTCCCTCAGACCCACCTCGCGGCCTAGAGGCCCGGCTTCCCCCCGAGGACACGCCTCCCCGACCCTTCCGCACTTCCGCCCCGCCTCTTCCGCCCGCTCGGCGAATCCCAATCCAAGCCAGGAGGCCGGCCGGCCAATGAGAAAAAACAAGGATCCATGGCAAGGGGGCGGGGTTACGTCCCGTCAACACCTCCCCTCCTCCCTCCAAGGCACCGAAAGGGTTGCCTTCTTTCTCTTCCCTCCCTCCCTCTCCAGAACCTGTCAATCAAACGAAAGAGAGGAGCGATTGGTTCGGCCTCGCTATAGTTTGTAGAGTGGGCGCGGCAGAGAGAGAGTAAGAGTGTGTGTGTGTGTGTGTGTGAGAGAGAGAGAGAGAGAGAGAGAAAAGGGGCGCGGCTCGGTTGCTCGGAGATGCGGCGCTGAGAAGTGGGCGGGGCCGCCCCGCCCCCCCTTATCAGGCTCTTTCTCTTTTTTTTCCTCTCTCTCTCTTTGGCTCGCTCGTGCGCAGGCGCGCGCTGAAGGCGGGCGCGCCGGGCCTTTCCGCCTGGCCGCTGCTGAGGAGAATCGATGGCGCGAAGAGACCGGAGGGTTGTCGCCGCCACAGCTTCGGCTTCGAGGCCCTGAGGTGAAAGTAAACCGGGGCTCCGTCCTCCTCAATCCCTTGGAAGCCGGGCCTCGCTTTACGGAGGAGCCCCGCCGAGCGGTTGGCGAGCAGGAAAAACGCCGCGGCGTCGAGTTGAGGGGAGGAACCCTCAAGTCCGTCCGCCTGCCTGCCCGCCTGAGGCGGCGTCTTCTTCGTCTGGGCGAACCCTCCGGGGAGGTGAGCAGGCGCGCGACCCCTTGTGAGGGAACTGATACGCCTCTCCCCCCCCCCCATTTCCCCCGTTCACACGTTCCGCGCAGACCCGTGTCGCCGCCGCGGGCTTCATTGTTCCAGCCTGGCTGCGCTTTTGCACACCTTTCCCGGAGGGTTGATATTCCCTGGTCTCCGCAGAGGAGGAAGAAGAGGAGGAGGAGGATCTCTGCAGGCTGGCTCCCTATACGGCATTTACACACACACACGTGCAAAAGATCCGTGTGTGTGTGTGTGTGTGTAGGTGCGTTTGGCCGACCTCTGCAGTGCCCACCAATCCAGGCAGGGGAGATTTGCAGGTTTGCCTGTGGGGTGCAATGATGATGGTGGTTGGGGGGGGTGTATATCTTTTTTTAAAAAAAAATTTATTGAAATTTATTATACATACAATACAATCAGTCAGACAGTGTTATTTAGGGGGGTAGGGGGGTATACATATCTATCTGGGTTACTTATGCATGGATTTTGAACCCCTGGCCACCTTTGGAAGGATGAAGATAGATGGGCAAAAGATCTACCTTACAGCTGATATGGATTTGAAACGTCTTTTTTTTTAAAAAAAAATATACCCTGTTTCCCTGAAAATAAGACCTCCCCTGATAATAAAACCCCCATCGGGCTTTTGAGTGCATGCGCTAAAATAACCCCCCCCCCCCTGAAAATAAGCTCTCTCCAAAAATATTTAACTGCATGCACAGCCGATCCCCACCATTTCCTCTGGTTAGGGCAGTGTTTCTCAACCTTGGTAGCTTGAAGATGGGTGGACTTCAACTCCCAGAATCCCCCAGCCAGCAGCACTGGCTGGGTCCACCCATCTTCAAGCTACCAAGGTTGAGAAACACTGGGTTAGGGTTAGGGAGACAGAGCTGGAAATCAGGTAAAATGGCAAGAGGAACCATGTCTTGCTCCATGCGCCCCAAAATAATACCTCCCCAAAAATAAGGCCAAGTGTTTATTTCAGGGTTCAAAAAAATATAAGACACTTGGTATGTGTGTGTATGTATATATATATATATATATATATATATATATATATATTGGTTTGTACTGTTTATATATATATATAAACAGTATATATATATTTTGGTTTGTACTGTTTCTGTGGGGAGTAGCAAATTGCCCTGAGTGATTTTTTTAAGGTGGTGGTGGTAGCTGTGTAAATAATTTAAATGGCATTCATACATATTCATGTCATGCAGATTATCAAAGAAGGGAGAAGTGGAAGGGGGGGGGAGAAAAAAACCTAGCATTTTGCACAAAACAGCCATTCACATGCAAGACTCTGGGGTCTGGTGCTCTGGTTTGCCAAAATAAATATCCCTGGTAAGATTTTTAAAGTGCACTACGCCAGCGGCTTAAATTTTATTAGGGTGATGTAGTTTTCTTTCCATTTTCGGGAATCGGTTCTGGGCATCTTTATTTATTTTTTTAAATAGGCTTTCCTCTTTATTGATTTGTTCTGCTTTGCCTCCCAATACTGTCTGTGGGCATCACTAAATCTTCAGCGAATGCAATTTCCTACTGACTTCCATTATATTCCTCTTCTCTACAACCACCTCCTTGCCTTGCCTTAATTTTCTTTTGTCCTTTCATAAGTGGAACTAAAGAGAAAATACAAGAGAGGCTGTACAGATAGTCCTTAGACTTAATGACTGGCCACTTAGTGACTGTTTGAAGTTACAACAGATCCCGACAGAGGAAATGTGTGTGTGTGTGTGTCCTCTAGTCACATGACTGCATTTTGGGCACTCAGCAACCAGCCCCCATTTACAACCATTTGCAATGTCGCAGGGTCACATGACTGCAATTTATGCCGTTTTTGCTGAAAGCTATCAAAACCGGCATAAATCGCCATTTTTGCCAGCTTTTAGTTGCTAAAGAATAGCAACAAATGAGTTCACAATGGTGGCATTCACTTGAGAACCACCACAAAAAAAAAAGATTGTAAAATTGGTCACAGTAAAATTGGTGGCCCGCCTTAGGACTGAAATCATGGACTCAGTTATGGTTGTAAGTCAAGGATTACCTGCATGTTATTCTCTTGGTCTGTACTCAATGCACAATATAGTTCCAGTGGCAGACATAAATAAGCATAATTGTTCACCATGAAGCCCATAGCTAAGGTGCCTATGAACCTGTACCCAGTACAACCTTGAATGTGAACCTATCCTTATTCTGGGAAGGAGGAAATGCATTTCTATGAGTCAAAGGTTTGGAAACTAGGAAAAAATGAAACGATGTGAAAGAGATATTGTACTGAAAGGAGAGCCAGAGGGAAAGAAAGTTTCACTGGAGATAAATGTCTGTTGGGAATTACTTTGAATGTTAATGCCAAAAATAAAATAAAATAAAATAATGGACAGAAGTGGAATGGTTGAGGATGTCAGACTTTGCTCACTATTTAATTTTTTATCACAAGCTCGAGTTTCTTGGAGATTGGACTTCTTAAGTCCAGTAATGCACAAATCACACGTGTTGCTGATAAGTAAGGAAAGAGAGATTAATAAAAGCCCAAAGTACGAACTCCGTGAAATAGCTACCTCTGTGTGCTTCAATGATTAATGCTGTATGTTTTTCTAGTATTGTAGGCTTCCTCAGGATATAGATAATTCTGACCTATTTGCATTACTGAGTCACTTTCAAAGCAGTAAAATGATCCATCTCTTGGGAGAGGTTGTCTGTTGCTTCTTTTCTTGAGTTCCTGCCCTGGATTTACCTCTGTTCAAAATGGAGGGGTAAGCTCCACATAATGTTAAATTGCATATTCCAGATCTTTTCTTGAATTATTTTAAGCAGCATTCTTTCAGTCATCTTTGAGGGCTATGTGATGTTAATGGTCAGAGCAAGCAGTGGGTGAGGACATCTTTTCTTTTTGGATACCTCTCTTTTTCCTTTTTCGTTATCACCCCCCTCCCAGTAGCATGCTAAAGAGAAAGAACTCACCAAAAATTATTTACTTGCATAAGAATTTTATAGAAATTGTGGATTTTCTGTCTATTCCTTTTAAAAGCTTATCTTTACTATAATGATTTATCTCTCTCCTGACTCTGTTGCTCTGATACTTTGGGGATCTCTAGGGGTACGTGACCCTTTGGATCCCAAGTCAAGATGTTAGTGCCTCCTTAGAGAAGCTGGCTCCCAAGAAAACAAGCACTTGAGTTAAGGAAACAACAACAACATGCCCACATTTACTTGGAACACTTTTTTGGCTTCAGATATGAAATACTGCACATTCCTAGATAGCTGCTTTAATTGGTTTACTTAAGGCTAGCAGAAGTGTCCTTCAAGGTTTTCTTGCAATTTTGTGCTTATCAGTTGGGCAGAAAAATGAAATAACCTGCAAATAAAATGGTTGTTTCTGCATAGTTACAGGTCTTCTCATGTCTGCAGAAAAATCAACAATAAATTAAAAGGATTTTTTTAAACATTAAAACTATTAAAAAGGATAAGTTACTGTGTAATAAATCTCAAAATGGAGGTTGCAACACTTTATTTTGAAATCACATCACTTCCAGTATTTGAACCCTTGAAACAGCCTGTTTTGAAATCAGAATATTTTGACCATTAAAATGTTTTGCGTGTGTCTAAGTGAGATTGCTTTTTTCCCCCTGAATTTTTAAAAATTTTCCTCACCTAGAACTGGTTCTACACATAGAATTGGTTCACACTGTTCGCTTAGCCATTATGGATTTAACAAAGCAGAATGACTAGGATCTCAGAATATTTAAAAGAATTTAACAGAATAACAGAGTTGGAAGGAACCTTGGAGGTCTTCTAGTCCCTGCTCAAGCAGGACACTATATCAGGAGGTGTCAAACTCAATTTCATTGAGGGCCTCATCAGGGTTATGTTTGACTTTGAAGGGCCAGGGGGTAGGGGAGGTGGGCGTGGTCATGGTGGGCGTTTGACACAGGCTCAAGATGAGCTTTTTCCTTTCTCTTCTTTCTTTCCACAATACTCCCCGGCCTCCAGAAGTGCTCTGCCGGCCAAAAACAGGCTGCACAGAGGCCTTGCGGCCCGTTTTGGCCAGCAGAGGCACCGTGGGCCGGTTCTTGGCATGAAGAGAATTAAAACTGCCCTTCAGGTTGGGTGTTCTGTATTTTCATTTCATTTGAATGTGATGTGAGGTTTGCTGCTCAGTACGCTGAGACACATTTCACCTGTTTGAGAATTTTTTATGGCATTCCAAACATTCTTCCCACACATTTTCTCATA